CTCCGCAGCCTGCATCTCTTGCCAGAAATCTCTTACTTCATCTCCTCCAATCAGCCCACTTGGGTTACCCGTTTCCTCCGCCCCCTACGATTCGATGCTGAAGGCTTTACAAAACAGATCCAATCGACCTCTCGATGCCCCTGTCCTACCCTCTCATTCCCTGTCTCTTGAACACTTCTCCTGCCCTCCCATCCCGCGTGACCTAAATCCCGCTGTTCCTGTTGACCACCCACACACGGTGCCACCCCCTGGCTATGTAGATTACATTATTACAAACGATTACCCGACCCAGCCTGCTACTCTTTGTCCATCTCCGCTATCTGACCTAAATCCCGCTGTTCCTGTTGAGCTGCCACACACGGTGCCACCCCCTGGCTATGTAGATTACATTATTACAAACGATTACCCGACCCAGCCTGCTACTCTTTGTCCATGGAGCTCCGCTATCTGCCCTGCCACCCAATCGCTGCCTCGTTACCCATCGCGGTACGCCCCAGCATCTTATTCTCCAGTAGCTGTACCTGGTTCTAATTCGCCTGCTAACTCGAAAACCTCCGATCCCCCTGTCTCTTCTTCATTCCATACTGACCTCCCTGGGTTTGTCAACTTCTTGCTAGCCACATTACCCACCTCCCCGATCCCGCTAGCAACCTTTCTGTGGTTCCAATCAACACCCGCTCTCTCTTACCTAAATTGCACTACATCCAAGCTATCCCCACTATAGCTCGTCCAACCTTCATTTGCATCCCAGAGACGTGGCTCTCTTCTAGCACATCTGATGCTCAGATCCCCCTTCCAGGATACACCATCTTCCGTTCTGATCGCTCCCACCGCCGTGGAGGTGGCTGCCTCATATACGCCAGAACTGATATGGAAGTCTCCACCATTGACGATCCGCTACTGGCGGACACTCCAGACTCTGTTTGGCTTTCTGCCTGTCGGGCTAATCCACCGTTCATCCTCGGGTGTTTGTACATGCCCCCTCCACACTCCATTAGCTCGATTAATCGTCTCTCTACGCTTCTTTCTCACACTCAAGCTCTACCTCATCCGAACAAACTAATTGTTGGGGATCTCAACCTTCCTGAGATTGCCTGGTCTCGACAAAACTCCCCTTTGCGCCTTTCGCCCCTGCTTACCCAACTTAATGTCGAAGGCTGGTCCCAGCTTGTAAGGCAACCAACACGCGGTACCCACACCCTGGACATTGCCCTCGTCAACGGCTATCTGTGTCCCACCGCTGCAGTTGGTCCGAAGTTTCCTGACAGCGACCATTGTATTGTAACTTGCAGCTGGACAAGTACTCTACCTTCAGCTACTCTTCCTCCCTTAACCTCTTTCATCCTTTCCCCGGACATTCTTGAAGCCTTTGCAATCTCATTGCGCCATAGGACCTGGGACGAGTTCTTTCTCTCTGATGACACGCAAAGCGTGGCTAACATCTTTTACGGCAACTTACTATCGTCATTATACCTAGTTGCTCCCACACGAGCTTCCCGTGCTTCTGGTCGTCATCCAGCCACACGGCTACCCGCTACACGCCATAAACTCAGGAAGTATCGTAGGCTATTCCTTGAATCCCATGATCTCTCCCTCCTTATTGTAATCAACAAACTTATGACTGATATTACCACGGCCAAACTCGCCCTTGAAAAGCATGAGGAGTCGACCGCCGTAGCCCATTTCCTACAGCCTAAGATGCTGGGGCGCCTCTTCCGCCGGCGTTGCTTCTCAAATTCATCTGCAGTTTCAAATATTGTGGCAGCTGACGGGAAACCTCTCTCAGACCCTGCTGACATTGTGGAATCCCTAAACTCCTACTTCGCTAGCTGCTATGTTCCCTCCCCATTGACTCTATCTACATATTGCTCCCCACCTGGCTATGAAGTGGCCACATCTGCTAACGAGACAAGCCCCAACCTCTGCACACTCTCCGTTACTTTGTCTGATGTAACTTCGTCTCTCGCCCGCCTTAGAGACTCCAGTTTCCCAGGCACTGACGGCATCCCTTCACTTATCTTAAAAGCTGGTGGCCCGGACGTCCCCACCCTCATCCTTAATCTCTTCAATATCTCCCTTATCACTGGCACAGTCCCTAGTCAGTGGAAGCACTCTACGGTTGTCCCACACTATAAGTCAGGTCCACGAACTGCTCTAGCCAGCTATCGTGGTATCCACCATACCTGCTTACTACTTCGTACCCTAGAGCGCCTCATCAAAGTTCCTGTCATGGAATACCTGCTCGCCACCAAAACCCTTAGCAATCGGCAGTATGGGTTTATGGCACGGCGGTCAGCTAACACATGCCAGGTTGACTTCTTCAATCATATTTCGTCCGCCTACGATACCGGACTGTGTATTATCCTTATCTATCTTGATATTCGCAAGGCCTTCGACCAAGTTCCCCACGGTGCACTCCTCAATAAACTACAAACTGCGGGGATTGGTGGCCCACTACTGCGATGGTTCGCTTCTTACCTCACCGGTAGAACCCAGGCCACCAAAATCGGGGATCTCTGCTCCTCAGCCCTCCCCATTACCAGTGGAGTTATTCAGGGTAGTGTGCTTGGCCCTCTACTGTTCTTACTGTACGTTAATAACGTCACCGACTCGATCACCCATGGATCCCCCTTTCTGTTTGCTGATGACATTAAGATAGCTTACACGTTTAAGGCCAGTGATTCTGCTTCTACCCTTCCTAACATTCAGTCTGACTTAAACTCTTTATCACTCTGGTCTTCCAACTCCTGTCTTTCTTTCGCTGTTCCAAAATGCCAAGCCCTGTCATATCGATTCCAAATTCCTCCTGGGACGCTTACCCTTAACGGTCTCTCCATTCCTACTCTTCCTGAAGTGAGAGACCTAGGCCTTAGGTATTCCTGTACATTTAGCTTCAACCAACATGTAAGGTACAGAGTGGCTAAAGCTCGCAAGCTCTGCGCTTACATTCGCCGATCCTTCCATAACAAATCCTGTTTAATTGCCATTTTTAAACAATTTGTAAGACCAATTCTTGAATCCAGCCCTGAATTCGCCTCACAGTATTCACAAACATGCCGGACTGCTGTGGAGAATGTGCAGCGCTCGTTTACTAAGTCCCTGTTTCCGGTGTCATCTACACTACCGTATCGTCTTCGCTGCTCATCACTTGGGCTGGATCCATTATGGCTAAGGCGCATCAGGTTGAATCTAGGCCTCCTGCATCGCTTAATCTACCGGCGGGCTTACATAGCTGACTGCGGCCCTGAATTTTCTTCCCGTACTCCCTATAATATCCGTAATTCAGGATGTTTACTCTCACTGTCGACGTGCCGAACTGTCTTCAGACAAAACTTTTTCCTTTGCCTTTATTCTAAACTGTGGAACAAGCTCCCCTCCCATATCCGTACTATTTCATCTCACGTTGGCTTTCGAAAGGCCATCGATTCTTACTTTTCTATCGAGGGAGCTGAGCGCCTTTTTGCGCCTCAGCTTACACTAGATACTTTTTTTGAAATAGGCCCTAAGCCTTTCTAATCAGCGCACTCACCTTGACTGTCCTGTTATTAGGTCCTAGAACTTACACTTACCAACCTGGAACCCTTAGCATTAGTCCGCAATTGCGACAACTACCCTCCCAAGTGTTCTTATCTATAACCCGCCACTCTATCTCTCTCATGCCTGTCTCCACTGACCCGGTTGCATATCCCTCCTCCGACCTTCAGCTTTTGTACCCAGCCCAATTATTCCTAGTTCTTCAAGCCTGGTCCCATCCCTGAGTAACTCTGTCAGCTCTATTTAATGTCTGGTGCTTTGCTTTGGCTGGATTTAAATAACCTCAGCCAAACTAAAGCCTCAGTTCCACACTGTTCCGAACCATTCTGCATCCCCTGAATACGTGCGCCGTACACATATCAAATGGTGGGTCTGGAGATGCGCTATGAACGAAATACTTGTTTGGCCCCACAGCCCAATCATTCACACATACACATAGCACCGGTGCACCTCTACTTGACGAAGTGGTTCACACCAATGCTTCGTGTTCGTTTAGCCCTAGTACACAGACTCTGAACATCTCCATTCCACTCCCATTGCCCAAAAGGTAGTTGATGATTCATTTGCTCCCGCGACTTGCCTCTTCCAGTGGCTGTTTGCTGTTCGCTTGTTCGAAATGACTGAGCTGTTTTACTGGCCTGACTTTCCCCCGACCGGATAAAATATCTGGTAGCTGGAGTTATTTACGAATGCACAAGCCGCACTTATGACTGCTTGGATGGTTTTCCACCTTGCAGATCTGGCAGCATGCACGAGGGATGAAAACCTCGTGTGGTGGACGGGTACGCCCTGCAGGGAGGGTCGCCCTGTTACGTTGCACCATGGTGCGTTCGTATACTCGCCACCCCTCCAGTAGCACGGGTGTATCGCCCATCGCCGGTGGTTCTGAGTCTGGCCTCTAATTCAGAAAAAAAAAAAAAGAGCAACGTTGCTGTTTGTCTGTAGCTGGATTGGCCTTGTTCCGGTTGTCACTTGTCCCACAACACCAAGAAATACAAGCGGACGACAGCTGTCCTCCCGTTTGTTCTAAAAAAAAGAATATATAAAAAAACATTCATGCATGGGGTGGCCTGAGAGTGCCTGTGAGGCTTACGGCTAACGTCAACGTGCAAGGTGTTGCCACTCTCGTCTTAGTGGGGTCACACCAACCCTAGCCCACTTCATCACTCAAACATAGCACACATGTTCTTCCCTCTTGTCATCTAGAGCTATCATATGCGCAAAGTGCTAATAACTTATGATTTCTTGATTACAAGCAGTCACAGCTAGCACTTAATGGCTTTTTTGCCATGCACCATTCGTTTTCTGGAGATGACAGCATTGACTCGGTGACTGATGATCCTTAATCTTACTTTCCTGTTAGATTGATTTAGTAGACCTCAGTTAAGCTACGATTCTTACCACTTATCTCGGAAACTGTTGCCCGTCCGCTTTTCACTTGTCCACTGTCACTGCTGACAGTCATTCTGTTTCTTTCTCTTCGCCCCTCTTCCCAAGCTTCAGTCCTCGACCGCAGTTGCCCAAACGCCTCTCAGAACTGTTATTCATTCAAACTGGCTGGTGCTCGGTCTACACTCACACGGTCCTCTAACAAAAGGAAAATTGTCCGTGAGCCTACATCTGTATGACTCCCTGTGTCAATCTCCGTCTCACCACGGAACTGCGTATCCCTTCTCCGACCCTTGACGACCGTTACGGGGTTGTCCATAAACCGAAGCATGTCAGTGCGATGATGGCATGGCACTGTCATACCCAGTGAGATGGCACTCCCGCAACTATTTTCTCCAGAATTTCGACCGCAACCCCTCGCTCAATCAAGCCTGTAGCCACAACTTCGAGCAGTTCCCATCCGGCCACGTCTCCGGGATGAGCTCTTCCGTACCCAATGAGTCTTCGCTCACATTTGGCTAGCCTGGCATTTCTGCTGCAATTTCGGCTTATCTGTTGCACAAGTTCAAATCCATATACGGAGTTCAGGTCGCCCTATGTATTAGCAACCTGCCCCCATCCAACCTATCCCCCCGCACCTGACATCCCTACAACAGTGCAACAACATGCTATGCTATAAGATTGAACTACATTTTTGAGACAAAACTTGTCATGTGCTACCAATTTGACTTATTCCATCTCCATCTCCACTCCCTTGTGAATGCACCTGACATCCCTACAACAGTGCAACAACAGTGCTTGCTATAAGATTGAACTACATTTTTGAGACAAAACTTGTCATGTGCTACCAATTTGACTTATTCCATCTCCATCTCCACTCTTGCTCCTTGTGAATCCGGCCATTTACCCAAGGTCACTCATGGCCAACAATGGTTTTCAGTTTTAGTTCATGCCGCGTGACCGTCTTTGATTTGGTCGAACCTCGTGCCCATTCTTCTCAACAATTTGGGAAACAACCTTTTATTGCTATATCATCGGGTATTCACCTTTGTTTATGACATTGTCCTCTTTAGACAATCCGCATCCCCACAAATCCCCCTGTCATGCTCCATTCTGACTGTAAAACTTTGATCATGCCACACGTTATGCCACCCACAAGTTGGGAATAAACATCATTCTCATTATCATTATCATTATCACACACATTCATCAGATAAATTTTTTCTCTCATTTCGGGTAGTAGGTGCGTGGAATGACCTTCCTCCGACGGTTGTCCACGCTCCTTCTAGAACCCAGTTTGTAACACTATTCGACATATATTTATGCAAATCCTCGCGCTGGCAAGCATACTGCCCCGCGCTGAGAACATAAAGAGCAGTGCTAGACCCCTTTTTCACTTGTGCCTTTCATGTGAACGACAGTCACTGACCGACAAGAACAAAAGCGACCCGGAAATCTTGGGCAATAGCCTCGTTCCTGTGTATCAATCTGTGAATCTGTGAATACTCGTTTCCTTGTGTTTCAGTTTTCCCATCAAGCGCCTGGCAAATTCCCCCTAGTTTTCCTTCCTAGCTGCGCCGTTGCTGGCCATCGAGTCTATGAGGTTGACGCAGTAAACAGCAGGCTCAAACAAGAAGTGGCTTTACAAGGAAGTAACAATGGCATAATCTTGGGAATTTGAGTACCTGACCACCGAGGTAGCAAGCAAAGAGACTAGCCGCTGGACCTGTATGTTACGGGCAATAAATGGGCGAGTAATTTTTATTTAGTTCAGCTAAAGTATCCAATTGCAGTGTCTCCGTTGCGCAGTATGTGTGGGGTGGCAGTGTGAAGAGTGAAGGCAGGCAGATAACGATCATTTGAGCAACAACTTCCGAGATATTGGATGGAAACTGTAGCTTATTACGTGAACTGCAAGGCAGTTTATTAGTATGGTTCGCCAGTCACTGAGTCAATGCTTCAGCTCCGAGCAACGAATGGTGCATGGCAAAAACAATAAAATGCAATTGACTAGATTGCTGGTTTTCAGGGATAAATGAGGTCTCCATATTTGGTGTGTGAACCTTCTGGAAAACAAGATGTAAAAAGTTTTCTGTCTCGCTGATGAAGTGGACCTGGTGTGGTGCAACCCAGACAAAGACGAAAGTGGCCACATCTTTAACATCGACTATTGCCATGGGCCCCGCAGAGTATCCTCAGGCTACCCCAATGCAACTTTTAAAGTTGGGCGAGGGAGCATGTGGCATTTTGTCGAATTTCATGAGCCTTGTAAAGTCATCCCATCCATTTGTTTGCGATCTGCACCCAGAAAGCTTAAGCGGGTGCCCATGGAGATACTGTCATCAAACATTACCCCAGAGATATGTGGTCGAAATCGTGGAGCGTTTTGTTTATTTCGGAAGTTGTGTTGGTTTTGAGTGTTGTACAACAGATAAAACCGATGCACTGAACCTGCTGGGTTTGGGTCCCATTTACTAATTTGAGACACCTACTACACTAAAGCTTTATGCCTCTAATCTCAGTGGACGTATGTATCAGGCTGCAATTCGGACTGTTTTGTTTTCTGGCTGTACGATTTGGCCAGATTGGGCAGCGGAACTAAGAATTCTTAAGTGGCTCGACACTCTTTGTCTCGGACCATAGTTGGTGGGGTTGGTGTCTGCAACTCTGTAATAAAGCAATTAGAACTCGAGTTTTCGGTTGTGCGACCCGCACTTTTAATAAAAAAATGTGTTCAGCAACAGTGGCTGCGTTGGTTAGGACACATGCAGCGTATGCCAAGCCGTCGTTTGCCAGAAAGTGTGCTGTTTTTGTGCTCTATTCGACGTAGCAGAAGCAGAGTGGTGGCCAACCGTCGACCTTGCAAAGGGGTATGGGTGCTGAATGAATGCGTGTGTGCTGCTGGTGAGTCTCCTTCCAGTGCGGGGACCACACATGAGCATTATCGTATCCTTTCGAAAACGCTGCAGGATGTAAGTGATAGCCGATGTTCTGTCTTGAAGGCCTGAATGAGTGTCTCTAGGTTTGGGAGTTGTAAGCTAATGTTTAGTCGCCTCCCTGTCCGCTTTCATCTTTAATTCAAAACAGGGCTTCAAAATCATGGTTGCTTGACAGAGAAGCATCGTTGCTGAGTACTGATGTCATGCTGTCGATGATGATCATGTTATTTGACGGACTATTCTTAATTCTATGGCGTACTCTTTTGGAATGCCACAAAGTTTTGTGATTTTTCCGCTCAAATGTGACATGGTTCTTAACGCTAAATTCATTTCAATTCAAAATTACATAGTGTGCTACTTTATTTCGAACACTAAGCTCAGTTTTACACATTCTCCCAGAAAATCAACCAGGTGAATCGTAGCTTCAGAGTTCAAGCATTTCCAACTGGGTGCACCAGTCTAAAAGCTATAGCGTCGCCCTTCTATAGTTGTCGGATTCTGCGACAAACTATCAGCTGAGGTGACCTCGCGAGGTACGTCCGAAATCGTTTTCGTCTTTCGCTCGTGCAAATTTTTGGTAGAACTGTTTACAGGGTTAGCATGAGACACTGTCGAAATTTCCACCCCCAACGTAACCTCTGTCAGCCAGCACCCAATTGGTACGATGCAGACAGTTCCATTCCTAAGTCGGATCTGTACAGCCTGCTGTCTAGAGCAATCGATGTGCCACAACAGATGTGGGCGAAATTTGTATCAATCGAATGTACGACGTGGTTGGCAATGTCACACTTGCACTCTTGGTGACAGGCGACCAGATAAGCCATTCATCTTAATCCCCTTGCCCGCTTGTCCGCGACATCTGCCTCTAACTTGAGGTTACTATGCATTTTGTAACTGAAAATAGAGCTACCAAATATTGAACCGACTCCCTGCTAACGAATTAGAAAGACCGGGATAAATTTTCCGTTTTCTTTTGGACGCTCGGCACAAAACTATCGCTTCTTTCTGAAGCTCTCGAGGGGGCAAACACAAAAAATAAGGGGTATGGACAAAATTTGCTGATGAACTCTCTTCTTCTTCGTGATTGTGTACTTAGCGCTACACACCAGGGGTCCGCTGGATGCAAAGGTCAACCAGCGCTTCGATTCAGCAATCAGGACCACTGTGGCATATTTAGTGAACAGCCACACGGGGGAGAGCAAGCGGACCATCCAGGTGCCGATCTCGAAAAAAATCACTCCTTAGTGGAGTCCAGACAAAACCTGAACATGAACCGCTTTAAGCAAGGTGATTACGCGGAGAGGGAAGCAAGTGAAACACTGAGCTTGTGGTTACATTTTCCTCCCCAGCTCGCCTACAGAAGACCCTGGAGCGGGCAGACAGCATGCGGGTTTACTCAACGATCAAGCGTTCATCTTAAAATCGCCCTCCAGAGATGCGGAAACTGGGCCACAGAAGTCGTAGAAGAGAAGACCGAAACGGGCTCCCGCTGGGCCACAGTTTACTTGACTCCAAATTTCATCCTCTTCGATGGCGTGACGTCAGTGTTCAAAACCGACGCTTAACTGCCGCACAACTACGACTTATCTGAAAACCTTATTGTAAAGAAAAGAGTAAAGGTGGACGGGAGAGGGACTTAGTACTAGCTTAACACAATCATTCCGAGGTGCCAACCCCTCCAGACTCCAAATTTATGACCAAACCGATGGCCCTCAGGGTCCACTTTGCTCTTGGAAGTACACTACCGAGCGTGGACACAGCGTACGACGTACGTGGGACTTTCAGCGCTTCTCTCCGTAGCAGACCGTAAAGGCGTGGCAACAAACGCTACGCCCAAGTCAGAGCTTCTTAGCTGGATTGGATCAAATATGAGGAGGGAATCGGCGAAGCCTACTGACGAATCAACTACTAGCGTTGACCTCGCAGTGGTGGAATGCTGCAACAGCCCATCAGCCACTGAGAATGGGAAACTGTCAGACTCCAGCTTCACTCCGTCAACGGTAGCCTTTCTGATTGTGGACACCGTCGTCGCTCATGACCTCAACAATAAAAGGCACAAGTCCGACAACAAACAGGGAATCTTTCGTACACTTAGTTGACCACTCTGGTCGCGAGCGACTAGAAAGTTCATACAAACACGAAAGAAAAGCGACCGCAGTCAAACAACCCACATAAACGTCGCCAAATCAGAAGGCTTTTGGCCCAGTGAAATTGGAGGTTCTCTCTAAAGCACTAGAGGATGCAACACAAAGAACGCAGCGACCTGGACAAAAATTAATAGCGAGCTTTCTTCTTCTAACAGGTACCTCGGGCTATCCATCCCGTGTCCGATGGCTGCGAGGAAAGTCATCCAGCTCTCTGACGTGGCAATAAAGACCGCCACGGCGTCTCCAGTGGGCAGACGCTCAAGAAGGAGCAGAATGATCATCTGGGGGTCATTCTCAGAAAGGATCACGCCAACGAAGCTGGTACCGTCGCTCCTTAGTAGTGTCTTCATCAAGCTTGATCAACTGCTTCATGTGGGATGGTTACGCCAGAAGGGAAGCAAGTAAACACGGGCTTCTAGTAACCCTTTCCTCCACATCTGCCCTACAGATCTTAGGGCGGTCTCTCAGCATTCAAAAAGCTTGTCCAACGATCGAGTGCCTATCTGAGGATCGCCCCCCAGAGGCGCCAGCCTGGGCCACAGCAGCTCTAGAACAGGGGCGCGAAACAAGCTTCCGCTTGGAGCCAGTTCAGTTGGCCCCAACCCCACGGCCATACCGATCGTAGTCATAGCCCTATGTGATCCCGGAAGCATGCCAACAAAGCCGGACACGTCTTCGGGCAGCAGTTTCTATTAACCACCACAGAACCCTCGACTACCAAAGGCATTGATGCTCTGGAGGAGGTAAGCCTAACGAGGAAACAGTGCTCAAAGTAGGTAGAGCTATCAGAGCTTCTTTCGGTGACGGACAACAAAGATGCGGCGATGAACTCCTCACCAAAGTCACAGCTTCTGAGCTGGACGGATGTTCGGAGACAAGCAGTGAAGCCCACCGACAAATCAACCATATGAGTTGACCTCGACATCGGGGAAGGCTGCGACAACCATACGACCACTGAAAATGTCAAACTGCTAATCTCCAGCTCCACTGCGTCAAAAGTGGCCTCTTTGCTTGTGCACATAGCCGTCGCCGAAAACCCCGACATCCGAAGCCACAAGCCTGGCCACAACGAACCGGAAAATCCCTCGTACACCCAATTTGTCACACTGAGCGCGGGCGGATCCGATATCCACGAAAAAGGGCGGTTGCAGCTAAACAAGCCACATAAGTTTCGGCAAATCAGAAAAACTGCTGGCTGGCTCCAAGGTGCAGTCCTCCACGAAAGCGAGCCTCTTGGAAGCGCTACCAAAAGCATTACTTCTTGGTGCCGCCACACAGCGCTCGGGGCCTGACAGAGACGCTTTTCCGATCAAACCGCGCCAAAACACCCAAGAATCCAGGAAGGCGAAAGTTTGCCGCAACTCACTGATCAACAGCAAGTCTCAGCGCCAAAAAGGCGGTGCTGAAAGAGCTATGAGCATCCACGGTCGAAAATTCCGCCCACGGGGAAAAAATTCCATCCCCCAAAGCTAAAAGGATCGAGCAAACAGGGCTCTGGCGGGGCGAAAAATCTTTGCAAGCGGAAAGCATCTCCAGAAACCACGAAGACAGGAAGCAGAGGACATCACCCCAGAGGCCACTTTGGAGCCTTGGGCTCAAACCCGACGTACAACTCTTAAGTCTGGTAAACTCCCTGTTTGTCCACAAACTACCCTGGTTTTTCGAACAAACTTTGCGATATTAAACAGTCAGCTTGTCTTGAACAGCCCCCATAATTGCGCTCACAGAAACCTGTCTCATACCAGATGTTTCTGGCGCGGAGATCTCGATGGATGTCTACTCTGTTTTTAGAGCTGACTCAAAACGAGTGAGGGATGATGAGGTTGCTTTGTTCTCACATACGATCCCGCCCATCCCGATTGTCCTCTCCGATACCACTCCTGAACGTTTTTGCGATGCACTTTGGATCCGAATCCCGCTACATGGGTCCAGTTCTCTCCTACTCCATATGGCCTACCGTAGCCCGTAAAGTCCACCTGAAGATGACCAATTCCCTATAAAAACTCTCGGGCAACCGTCCTTTAGCTAATACTTCACTCGTCTCCCACTGGTAGGTGACTTCAGCGCCCCAAAGACCTCCTGGGTGGGGCCTAAACACGTTGGGTCAAGTGAATTTTTTTCAGCGGCACTGATTGATGACGCTCAACAGTGCGCTTGGAATCAGCATGTCGCTGAACCCACTAAATACTGCGCACCCAACTATCATCCTTCCCGTATTTGGCCATCACCAAAGAAAGATACCTCGTTGGTCAGGTAATAATTAAAAGCTCCACTGGGATATAGCAACCACTATGTGTTTATAGAGCACACTGTGCATGTCTGTATTCAGGCCTGGCGTCGTCGTCACATCCAGTCCTGTCAGTAGGTAAATTTGGAAAGCCTCCAACAGATTTGGTCATCACAGTACAGGACATTCGTCAGCTCTTGCACAACATCAACGCATTCTGCTCTTTGGCGCCCGATAAGGTCCATACGAGGATCCTGATGGAAACGTCGGCTACACTGGCAAATCCTTTATACCTGATGTTTCCACAGTTGCTCAACAAAGGCGGCTTCCCTCGGATTGGACAGAAGCGATTGTCACACCAATCTACAAAACTGGTGACCGACTATCACATGGCAGCTTCAGGCCTATAGGCTTCACTAGCGTGCCTTGCAAAGTGATGGAATGCATTCTGAAGCAAGCTATCTGAGATCACCTTACTACCAACAACCTGATATATCCAGCTCAGCACGGAGTCCTACCCAAACGTTCTCGCGTCAAAAACATGCTCAACCCGGGCCAAGAGCGAGGGACTCATATCGGATGCCATATTTTTTGACTTCTCAAAAGAATTTGATAGGGTCCCACACGTCCAGCCGCTCCACAGACTCGATTCTTACGGGATTCAAGGGAATATCCTTCACTTGATCAGAGCGTTCCCATCAGACAGATCATTCCGAGTGGGAATGGGCTCGACCTACTCTTCTTTAGCGCCGATCTCCATTGAAGTTCCCGCAGGCTGCGTTTTGGGACCACTGCGCTTTCCGATATGCATCAAAGACCTTCCAGATGTTCTTGCAAGTCCATTCTACTCTTTGCGGGTGACTTGAAATACTGGAGTTCTAATGCCAGTGCCCTTCAAATGGACGTAGACGCCACAAAGAAGCGGTCGTTGGACGGACACCTTCCTCTGAACGACAAAAAGTGCGCCCATATGTCATTTAGAGGAGACTCAGCGAATGCCTTTTTGATGCATGGTGAACAAAGATCAGAAGACATCGTGAGGATAAGTGCCAAAATTTTAGGTGGCTGGCCGTCCTCAGATATGCCCTCAATGTACATGAGAAATAGGCCCAACGGGCATTTGCCGTTCGGCGGATAATTCGGTGCACTTTCTTAGCATTACTCGCAAAGGCTTCTAAATACTCTATCGGACCCACGTCAGGCCGTCCCCTGAATACGCTGACCAAGCTGCCGCTCAGGACGCACGCTGGACGTAGCCCTCATTGCGCGTGTCCAAAGAGCTGCTAGAAAAAATTGCCCCCTCGGCCGTGAATCCGTGGAATATGAAACGAGTCTCGTGGTGCTTGACCATTTCTCCTGGAGAATCGTCAACTCCGAGGAGACTTACTGCTTACTTTTGCCCTGTTTGAACAATGGTGTGGCCAACAGGTTTTTTTTTACCGTTCTGCAGCCCCACACAGAGCGGTGGCATGCTATGGAGATTTTCATGCGCACACTTTCGCTGAGCAAAAAAATTTCCCATTTCGGGTAGTACCTGAATGGAATAACCTTTCTCCGACGGTTGTCCACGCCCCTTCTAGAACAAAGGACTATTAGACGCTTCTTTGTGCCAATTATCGCGTTGCACATCTTACTGCCCCCTGCTGAAAACTTAAAGAACAGTACTGCTCCGTTGTTTCACTTGTACCCTTTAGGTTGTAGTGGTCTGGCTACCCAGTAAGTTAGTTTACCACAAGTTTGTGGCGAAGAAATAAAATTAATTACGCTTGGTTGTGTATACAAAAATAAACAGGTCAGATGGAACAGACTCACTAAAAATTGTTCTCTTTAAAATAGTTCGTCGTTGGCCCAGGTCAGCGAGTGAATAATAATCCAATTATGTTGGTCCGGTGGTCTTCTTCCGAACAGTTCCCGCATATAATAGATTCCGAAGATGGTCTGAAATGTTTTGGTACCAGAGTCAGTACATGAGACTCGCGAACGACCGCTGCAAGCGCGAGCGAAATCAGAAGAGAGAGTCGAAGCAAGTGACCACGCTTGTATTATGTGAGATTGTACAAGTGCGCGTTTTTTGTAGTTTTTCGTATTCAACCAAAAAATCGATTATGCAATTGGTGAAATACGTAGTGTTACAATGGATGTAAAATAAATGTACATAACACAACAAGGTGAAGGGTAGCTGGTGGACGACAAGAAAAAACCAACCAAGGAAACCTGGGCAAAACCCTTGATACTCTACATCAGTCATCGATTCAATGTATTCGTGAATGCGTGATCCGATCCGCTCTTCTTGAAGAAGTTTCCAGAATCCGATCAAANAATGGTGTGGCCAAACGGTTTTTTTTACCGTTGATGCAGCCCACACAGAGCGGTGGCATGCTATGGAGATTTTCATGCGCACACTTTCGCTGAGCAAAAAAATTTCCCATTTCGGGTAGTACCTGAATGGAATAACCTTTCTCCGACGGTTGTCCACGCCCCTTCTAGAACAAAGGACTATTAGACGCTTCTTTGTGCCAATTATCGCGTTGCACATCTTACTGCCCCCTGCTGAAAACTTAAAGAACAGTACTGCTCCGTTGTTTCACTTGTACCCTTTAGGTTGTAGTGGTCTGGCTACCCAGTAAGTTAGTTTACCACAAGTTTGTGGCGAAGAAATAAAATTAATTACGCTTGGTTGTGTATACAAAAATAAACAGGTCAGATGGAACAGACTCACTAAAAATTGTTCTCTTTAAAATAGTTCGTCGTTGGCCCAGGTCAGCGAGTGAATAATAATCCAATTATGTTGGTCCGGTGGTCTTCTTCCGAACAGTTCCCGCATATAATAGATTCCGAAGATGGTCTGAAATGTTTTGGTACCAGAGTCAGTACATGAGACTCGCGAACGACCGCTGCAAGCGCGAGCGAAATCAGAAGAGAGAGTCGAAGCAAGTGACCACGCTTGTATTATGTGAGATTGTACAAGTGCGCGTTTTCTGTAGTTTTTCGTATTCAACCAAAAAATCGATTATGCAATTGGTGAAATACGTAGTGTTACAATGGATGTAAAATAAATGTACATAACACAACAAGGTGAAGGGTAGCTGGTGGACGACAAGAAAAAACCAACCAAGGAAACCTGGGCAAAACCCTTGATACTCTACATCAGTATCGATTCAAATGAATTCGTGAATGCGTGAAGCGATCCGCTCCTCCTGAAGTAGTTTCTAGCATCCGATCAAAAGCACATTTCAATCATGTGCTTCTCGAGTCCACGCACTTGCAAGCAAAATCCCAAACCCCTTCAAGATTTGTGCAACTCCCTTTTTTGGTTGTTCTACAGAGGGTCGCGGCCACTGGACTAGAGGAACAAGTTCAACTGCTCTAGCTCTGGCGAACGCTTGCATCTAGCGTTTTCCTTCCTTGAATCTATGAAAAGAGTATACTAGACCGGTTGACCTTGAAACATTTAGAATTTTCAAGGTTGAGCCCTCGAATGGACTTGTTGGTATATCTCGCGGATTTTCTCTATCCTTGTATAGGCCAAGAATTTGCTGAGTGCCTCCGAGGAATTTGTTTGGCGTCTACGCGACGGGTTAATTGAGAAGAATGTTCCATTATTGGTTGCATTGACAATCCTGGGGCTTTTGCTCCTCGTCAACACCAGTAATATATTTTTTCGCCTAAATTTCCTTAGTCGAATGTGATCCCAGACAGTGCTTGCTACGTTTTTTACGGTGGTGTCCGGGACTCAATTACATTGTCCAACTAAAAATCAACAAAGCCTTGGCAGATGTCCATGACTCGATCCACAAGGACTCAAGGGTGGTGTATGAAACTTCGCTACCAGCATATGGGCTGTCATCGGTTTGTCTTGTCAGTTATGATTTATAGAATTTTCAGGACAAGGTGGTACAGAAATTACGGAGGTACAAGGCCTCAGGTAGTATACTTTTATTCACTCTTATTCAGCTTTGCAGAGTATATTCGGTGGAACGAAGGATTCGCATCAGGGAGTGTATATCCTAAGGATTCATCATTGGCTGATCTTTCCTCTAGAGTGAGTTGGATGGTTGTTCCAGTGCATTTTGTATGGTCTTGTTGTCCCCATGGCCTTACTCAGGTTCATACGAATTGTGCACTCATTTATGCGTTCGACGCGTTTACACATGATTCCATTCGATCTCTACAGTCTTCTGTGCTAGATAGTTTCGCTACCTCATCAGAAAACTTTTGGTTAGGTTATATTTTTGCATTTACTCCGACGTGGGTCGGTGTGGAAGCTGGACGTTTGCTGCGTGCAACCGTAATTGCTTTTCTAAGAGCACTCGTGTGTGTCGACTGCTAGCTGTTAACTGGAAGCTGTGAGTACCATTGTTGACCGTTCTGCACCAAATGAAGGCTGTGTCAATCATTAGAATATATCACAGTTGAAGTTCACTGATTTATATCCAGATCGCTCGTTTTTGCATAAGCTGTCTGTTTACAGTGAAGCAGCAGTGTATCTGTTCACGACGGTGATCACCATTACGATGTAGCATTTTACGAATACCGAGTGCGCGAGTGTATTTTGTCTGGACTATTCACCTTTTGCCAGTCATTTGCCCCCCCCCCACACCATGTAATTGGTATACAGCGCTCTCTGTGTTCCGCCGTCGTAGTCCTGTTGCTACCTGCACGACTGGTTATACGGTTTCGGTTCCAATCGTTCACAGTTTACCGTTTGGCTTCTCGTGTGGCTGGCCCAATCGCAAATTAGGGAATGTTTACAACACACTCCTCATTAATGAGCCTGAGGTGCGATGGCTCAGTGGTTAAAGCGCGAATCTACTCACCGGAAGGTCCGTGGTTCAAACCCGACCTACGCTTCTCGACTTCCTCTGTCCAGGCTTTGGAAATCTGGGAATATCCCAGTCCTCGTGCTTCCTTCGGGTAGCATGGCATCTGAGCACCGAAGTGGTGTTACAGCTGAACGATTTTTTTAATGAGCCCGAGGAAAGTTGCGCACTGACCAGTGAGAATTGTACAGTTTATCACTCTGTGCAGGCCTGGATAACCTGTCAGTGACTCAATTCTGATGCTTCTCTTTGGTTGCCCTGCTCCAACTGGGTACCATAGCTGAGCGATTTCGACCTTATCTCACAAAGGAAGGCCAGAAAAACAACTGATTGGTTATACCAAACTGTATTTTGAACGTTCAGGACTGTCGTTCAAGCGTCACCAAGATTGTGGTAACAGATGTGGATGGACGCCGAATATCACCGTTTGGATGTTTAAAAGCTGGTCATTTGCTCCTTGGTTTACTTTCAATCTCTCTAGGAGGTTTCATTTGAGAAATGGACCTAACACAGACACTATGAATTTTAACTTTCGATATCGGTCGCCGCACCGTTCATTCTTTCAACGATAGTGTATCGATAGTGGGTGAAAATATGGGGGATCCGACTCTTTGGAAATGGCCGTGCTTCAGCCGCATTCGTCTGTGGCGTCTCTAGCGAGTTGGTGGTCACATTATTTTATCAGTCGACTAACTGTGTATCATCTATTCATTGTGACGGTAGATTTTGCTGTTCTACCAAGCTCAGTCATTTAAGGCGTATTTTTTCAGTCTTTACACAAGGAATCTAATAAACAAGGCATACATTGGCCGCATGTGCGGGAGTAACGTCATTGGCTATCCCGACTTCAACCATGTGCCTTCAGACTTCTTTCAGGATAATATTACCAAAGGTAGGGATTTCTCGGTTCGCTGTTCCTTCAAACAAAACACCTAGTCAATCTGTATCATTTCTAGACGAAAAACTGAAAGCCCCTGAAGTTTATTTTAAAGTTCTGGGTTTTGGAAAACCACATTAGGCACATGTATTTTGCTACGCTGATAATTTTTAAAAGCTTTGGACTCACCCCAAACTGATTACTGTGAGTTCCTCATAACTCTATGGTTATGGCTCAAGTTAGTATCTTCGCACCTGGCGCGTAACTGACTCCGATGGTAGCCCATCGCATACCCCGTCCATTTGTGCTAACTTGCGTCGGACTAATGTTTCTGGGTCAAATGTGTCGACTTTTTTTCACCACGGCGCTGGAACACGTTTATTTCAGTGTTCTTCGAAGATTCAGGCACTTTCGAATATCTTCTTACTACAGCTATCTTTCTCGTTCCATTTATGGTAGTTGGACACCATCATATGTTAACAGTGAGTTCCCGTTCTTGTTGAAGAGGGCAGGGGGCTGCGTGTCCGAATGTACAAGACATAATTGGCACCCTAATGGACCACCGTGCACAGGGTTTCCCCTGTTGGTAAAAATTTGTCACGCGTGGCGGCTAAACTAGTGATTTATACATGCTTCGCCAGAAAATGGTCAAGTGTGGGTATGTAGGAGCATGGAGAATTTGGCGTTTCTGTGTCGTGCGAAGTGGTAAGTGTTATTACACATTCGGATACAACTGACGTGCCAAGGTGGTAGTGTCCTTCAACCCCGTTATTCACAATTAGGGAATACGTAAAATTTCGATTGAAGTTGACGAGATTCGTATCTTTGAGGGGTTTTTGTTTAGGCGAAATTTTCCAAAAGTTTTGTTAGATGCTCATAAGTGATTTTTGCCATTCGATAAGTTTTCCTGTTTTTTTCACTTTATTGCTGTTAATTCCAAATAAGGCGTCGTAGATTACGGAGTGACCTCAGTGCAAATGCGTTCATATGATAGATCTCGGGATGGATTAGTTGTTAAGGCGCGAACTTAATGACGTAAGGTCCGTGTTTCGAACCCAACGTAATTCCTGGAGCCGGTGAAGCCAAAGTCTTTTGGGGGAAATGGTTGGGTTTATTTTAGCTATCATGTTAATTATTCATTCCACCTTGTTCGAGTGGGCGTTTTTTGCCTTGGGGAGCGGAAGGGCCTCTGGTTTTAAACGCCGTCTCGTTGCTCAGCTTACCGCTATTTCCATTCAAGGTTATGTAAAATGAAAAAAGGTAATCTGTAGCACCTTTCCGGTGCCTAACTGTCATGCCACCCGAAGTTGCACGAGGCTGCTGGGATACTGCCAGGTTGCCCAGACAGAAGTCGGGTTCGAACCAAGGACCTTCTGGTCAGTGAATTCGCACCCTAACCAATTGGGCCATCTCGTCCCTCAAGGTGATGTAATGACTTCCGATAAGCTATTCTCTTTTTGTTTTCCACCATTTAGACTCTTACTTGAGGAGCTTTGTGAACATCTCTCACACGTTTCTGCGCACACGATATAGTGTTATGTTCAACTATTGTCTCGGTGCACTTTGACTACTTACAAGAGCTGATTTTTGTTGGAATTCTTGGTCATATGTTGGTCATATGTCGATATGTTGGGCGTATTATCTGTCACCGCATAGAATTCACGAAGAGTCGTCCATATTCTGCAATGGACGCCGTTTTGTAGTCTAAGTAGTTTTAGTGCATTTAATCGCTTCCCACCCCCTTTTACGCGCACCCAAAAGAAAGTGAGTCGTATCTACCACTGATGAGAGCAGCTGTCACTATAAACGACTTTCAACAGTTAAATGTGACGATTGTGACCCTGGTTTTGGTCTTCAGTCCGCACGTCGTAGTGGAATTGTGCAATAACCTGCATCCACGGTATTCGAACCCAAGACATGTTGGTCAGAGATTTTCCTTGTCCTAAAGTTGTGGCGGATAAGTATAGTCGGTTAAGCTCATGTGCCTTGACACACTATCGTCTAGTTTCCGTTGAGTTCATCGTACTAAGAGTCTCATGGTGTCATAGAAATCGAGAAACGACAGTTGTATTAGCATGGTGAATTTTCCGGTTTCTCTAATTTGGGCGCTTATGATTAGCAAAGCCGTCTGTGGGCCTTCTAATATGAAAGTCAAGTGCATTTGCATCGTCTTTGGACAAAGTTGCTATCGCTGTAATTCGTTGAATTCCTCTATTCTGCTGTTCGCACAGGTTTTCAAGGAATTCATATGGGCTAACCCACTCCACCCTGACCTGTTCCCAGACGTACGGAGAATGGAGGCTGAGGTGGTTCGCATGTGTCTATCAATGTTTCATGGGGACGGAGATGCCTGTGGAACGGTGAGTTAGTCCACTTAGGGCTGTTCTAGCGTCGACTGCCGACCATACTTTACAACGTTTTATTTGGTACAAGAAAGCACGTGGTGACTTATCACTACCACTTGTCGATAATCTAGTTTGGAAAGCTACATTTTTCAAAATCATGCTTAGGGTTGTGTTTTCGAAGACGAAACGTTGTTAGTCTTGCCATTCCATTCAATATCCACTAGCAACTTCTGTGGACTGGAGACCAACCTTTGAGCAGAAAGGGGCACCGTAAACTTTGGATAAAAAACCTGATGTGGCTTCACATGCCGTCCTTAAGGTTTTGCAGAGGAATGATTTTTGATCGTCCTTGGTTGTGTGGCGACTGCGGCATGCGATCAACTACCGGAAGTCACAAGTGGGAGGTTTTTGTTAGAGCCAAGCACAATGAGCTGCTTTGACAGCTGCGGATTTCTTATGGTGTGAGCTTACAGAGGAACGGCCTACGGGTCGTCCTGAGGGGGAACCAGTACCTATAGACGGTATACTTGGTCTGGAGTGAATTTTCTTTGAGGGATCACTCATCAAGTTTCAACCGTTGAATAATACTGTTTGGCTCTAAAGGAGTAAACTTCTGTCCAGCAACTATGGTGTTTTAGATTGCTGTGTGCTTTGAAAATGGGTCCTTGCCAAGCCTCTCTGGTACTTTTTACACTTTTCACAGATGACCTCGGGTGGAACAGAAAGCATCATGCTAGCTTGCCTTGCTTACCGGGAACGTGCACGCGCCAAGGGGATACGCAATCCATCGATGTACGTGAGTTTCTTCCAACTTTTCGCCATGGCGTTCCTGTAACGACTTCTTTGTACACCCAAAATTGATCGCCTGCCGTAACAGAGGTCAGCTCCTGGGTCTCTGTTATCTGGTGAGTGTTTCGGTGGGGACTGCGTTTGGATACCGCAGTTATCCCCCCTTCGTAGGTGCCACCCTAAAGAACAGACCAAACCAGTCTCTTCTGGCAGCAACTTCACTGTTGAATAGGGATAATCAATAGTGGATGATTACGGAACCTGGTTTCTTTTAAGGGGACAACTGTTATTACAAGCTCGCATGCAACACAACAACTAATCAGAGTTACACTTCCAATTCGACCAGGTGAAAGTGTAGTAAGCACATTGCTGGATGGTATACCGTGTGCTTGTTTCAACATGGAACGTGCATTCTCCTGTGCTTTGAAAGAATGAACTGAGCCTTTTGACTATGCGTTTAAGGTCCTCATATCTGAGCATTCTTTGTTAATAGACAAATGAAGGAACATTACACACATCTGCACGTCAGTACGACAGCCACTTGACTGATATCACGTCATCGAGATCGCCTGGACTTTTGCCTGTCTGAATGACAGTCGATTTCATATTGGGAGCGGACACAATTTCCCGGTCTGTGAAACCCTTTAGTTCCTGTATATCAATAAGAGCGTACTGTGGTGAAACAAGATATTTGGAACAATGGCACCCTAGGACCGTTATTGGATTAGCATGGACACATTAAGCAATTGGGAAGCAAAAACAATCCTGTGTAGGTGGAAGTAAAACTATCTTTTTAAATCGTAGGCTCGACGTTACCCCGTATCATTCAGTTTGTTTACGACCAATAGCAGTATCGTGTGTCGATCGATAAGTCTGTCTCCAAGGCAGTCAACCGTAGCGACTGGCTCGGATTCGGTAACAGTGTGTTATCCGAACCAGTGAGATCAAAATCATCCGGTCGAACCGCGCCACCTACAAATCAGCACCGCCGTCCTTGTCCCAAACATTGTAAGATAGAAATTTCGATACATATTTTGATTTGTGTTCCTATCGAATTGATGTTTGGTGGCGCCATTATAATCACCGGATGAATATCACCGAGTCGCATTTTAATCGATCGACTCTTTCCGTTACACTGTCTCGATCATGTTTTATCAAGCCGAGCCGGTCCACAAATAGTGGCGTGGTAAAGAACAAATTAGAGAACACAAAATATAGGATATTTTTGTTTGCATGAAATTGTGTACTTTCCGTGAGGTTTCTTCCGCTTCCACAAGGTGTGGAAGGCCAATGCTGAACTGAGGCAGTAGCTGTTGTTAGCTTCGGCTTCCAAGATAAATCGTAAAGACAAAAGACTGTTTGATCTCATCCTGGTTGATTTATTCATGGGTCATATTCACTGGCCTTCACATAGTAGTTTCCAAGCCATTAAATTGAAGATTTATCGCATATGTAGGGCAGACATTTGGTCAGACCCGTAGACGTCTTGAGCACATCATACCTGCCATCTTCACTGAGGCTCATCGGATAGGCGAATAGGAATCAGTCACATGGCTCTTTTGGTTACTCTCCGGACCATGCTAGCCTGACGAGCGCCGGAGGTCTGTCTCTTTGAAGATCCTGTGACACATTTACTACAAAAGAACATGGAAAAAAATTGTTTTGCACAAAAACCCATTATTTACCTTGGGATGATTCTCAAAAAAGTTCAAAGCACGAACTTACTAGCTGCAGGATCCGTGGTTCGAACCCAACTCACGTACCTTGACTGGGCAGCCTGGGAGTATCTCATCGGTCGTGTTTCTTTCGGGTGGCATGACCGTCAGGCATCGAATGGGCGTTGCAGCCGAACGTATATAATTTAACCTATTTAATTCATAGTTGCTTCCTTATTTATTTCAGAGTTCTCGCGGAATCTGCTCATCCAGCTTTCGATAAAGTGAGTTGTTGACTGTTCCCCATCTATTGATGCTTTGAAGAACGTTATGTTACAACGTTCTTCTGTTTGGTCGGTTTATGCGACACAACTCGTTCAGTTTCCAAACTTAATGGGCAAAGACTACTCGCGCGTCTCCAGGATAACCGGTGACCACGGTAGATTTAGGTTTGCTTAGCAAGTGACGGGTTTTGTCAAGCATATGATTTCTCGGGGAACTGGTGCAATATGAATGCGGTACACGTACGGGATCCCTCCCATGAGGATGATCTGTCTAGCAGGTTTTTGGTGGTATGCTGCTATCCGTCCGCCTCGAAAAAAAAACGTAAACCACTTTGTTGTACTTTTTTCTCGATTGGTTGAATGACTTTTCGATCGTTTCAAAGCAGTAACCCACTCAGTTTCGGAGTTGGAAGTTGGAAGTCTTCACATGACCGATTTTTGAGTAGTTCCTTGCTATGCATATGACGTTTGTTTTTAGTTCGTCTTGAAAACTCCCAGTGTGTACGACAGAATGGCACACATGCAAGGTTACATGGGATTGTTTACTTTAATGCGGGTACAGATTTTTCTTAATCCTACGCTGATAGAAGGCACTGAAGACATTCGCACTAACCGCGTGGAGAATGTATCAGAAACTCTTTATCCGAGACCAGTAACCGTCACTGCGGTGGCGTTTTGGTATCGCCTGAAAGTGTTTCCCCTGGTAGCGAGCACTCGTAATCTTACCGAAGAACATCAGTACTGTTACCTCACACGTTTTTGACCGCGGTTGCCTCTGATAAAGCTGTTTAAAAATTCCTGCTTGATCCTTTGCTCGAGGAAGAATTGAATTGCATGTAAAAAAAGGATTGACTGAAAATGGAGTCACTCGCATCTGGCCTCAAACTGCTCATCAGTTATCGTAGTCTGCGGGCGGTGTGTTTTCGGTCCACTGCTCTGTTCAAATTCGACTGGGTTTCTCCGATCGCCCATTGTTACCACCTGGCTTTGATATTTTCAATTTAAATTCGGTAGAATCACGTTCGGGAGCATGTGAGAGACTACCGTTCATGTGTTTTGCGCCCGTTTTCAGTCCTTGGGGGATTCGGAACCGTAAGCTTCTCTTACATGTAGTTATTCTATTCAAAGCATCTTGAGGTCTCACCTGTACGATACTTGATTCCTCCCGACCCACATCTTACGAATTGTCACTCATCTTAGCTATTGATTTGTTATCGCGGTCAACCAAATTCATTCAACTGGAAAGCAATACGTTTTGGTCAGTTTGTAGACTCAGGTCACGTGATGTGCATCTGAACAATTGTGGATGAGATGTGTCGAATAAATCTCATTGCTCAAAGCTCAAAGTTTAAAGTGTTTTTGCCGCCTGTCTGGAGATTTCAGGTTTCAGGTCCTTGTTGAGATTCGTGAGGTGCGCGTTATTAATGATCGGCATATCGACTACTCAACAGTGGCTGGGCTAACTTTCTTGATTTCAGACCGAAAGTAAAGCCTTAACAATATATTTGGTAATTGCAAGACCGTTTAGCTGTAACACGCATTTGGCGCCTAGCGGCCATGCCACTCGAGGGAAACACGAAGACTGAGATAATTCCAGGTTGCCCAAGCCCAGAAAGGAGCGGAGAAGATGCTGAGTTTGGGTTCGAACCATGGACCCTCCGATCGCCAAGTTTGTGCCTTAACCACTGAACGACATTCAGCGCAACATATAAATAGCACGCTCCGAATTGAAAACTACCCAAACATCACGTGGATCGTTTAGTAAGCCATCACTCGGGAAGCCAGGATTATTCGGAGCTCTGATCGAGCTTATATCGATTGTATTTATTACTCGTCTCACCGCGTAATTCTTCATTGTCAAGAGCGAATTCGCTAGGCAAACAATCCAGGCAATACCTTTCGGGAGGGTGATTTCATCTTCGTTGGAAACCTAAACTACTTTTCGACGATGACTAGGTCTTAACGAACGGCAGTCACCTCCCATTTTTCCAGTGTCCTGATAAGCTGTCTATTAGAAGTCGGTGTAATCGAATGCTGAGATTATCTGACTACTTAGGCGTACATCATAAGACCACAACTTGGGCAATATCATTCGAGAGTACTGAATATGAGCTCTTTCTGGCTTAGTGGTTAAGTCGCGAACTCACTGGGAACTTCTTGGTTGCAACCCAACCCCAGCATCTGCTCCACTCCTGGGTGCTTCCTTCAGATTGCGCGGCAAGCGTTCACCGAAAACGAGCCGCGGCAGAATGGTTATTACTGGTCACGGGACATCCGGCAGTCGTCGACCGGCGGACATCTTTTGTCCTTAGGCCACTGTGTTAATTTATACACACATTCTGAAGTTCCCCATGGTCGCAGCGATTAAAGGTTAGAAATGTCATTGGGCGACAAAAGGCTACCGTGGACTTACCGTGGGTTTCGGAGCCACTCATCCCATCGATGTCGTTCCACGATACCGCGCTGTGGTAATCGAGCACTTCTGACTAGATTTGCAAGGCGTCGGAATTTTCGGACCCTGTCATCAAGAGAACACCGTGCTCAGTGGTCATCATGAAACGACAAACCGTTCATTTTGGATAAAATATGTTGCGATATCTGGAATATCGTACCAACTGAAACGGTGGGTGGCCTTTGTGCAGCACATTCAGTTGAAGAATATCATGAACAAGAGATTCAGTTGAGTCTCCCGCGAAAACTTCGTTGACATGCGAGTGAGTGTATTTGTCGAGAATTGCTGGGTACTTCTGGAACACTGTGCTCGAGTAGTGAAGTTACTGCATTTGAAACCCACTAAAGAGATGAATTCCAATATTGCACTACCAAGACCCCCAGACTGATGAAGTCTCCTGACAACCCTCTGTCAAACTGAGGACGTCAATTCTTGAAATGTGATACCCGGGCGATTTTCCTAGAGAATTTTTGTTATATATGTATTCACAACAATCGGTGTCAGTGGTTAGGGCGGGAATTTACTGACCGGAAGGTCCGTGGCCCGAACCCGACCTCCGCCTCTCGACTTCCCCTGTCTAGACTTGGGCGACCTGATAGTGTCCCAGCCCTCGTGCCTCCTTCGTGTGTGACATGGCAGCTAGGCACCGAAAGGGTGTTACAGATGAACGATTTCCTTCTCCCCGCTTGGCCTGTAAGAAATTCGGCTAAAACAGAGTAGATTTTCTGACCGCTATATCAATCGAAACATGAAAATCGTGGTGTCGAAAGTACAGAGGCCTACAGAGGCGTCTGAATAGATATACACCTCCGGAAAATCCAGATTTGATGCCAGAATGTTTTCCGTGCAGAATCTAAGTCCTTGTTCCAAGTGATCGATGTGTTATATATGTATATATATGAATATATATGTATATGAATGAAAAAACCGTACATCAGTAGCATTTAAGTCACTAAATCGCTTTCAAGGAATACCCCACAATGCAGCTCATGGTGCGAGATGTTGTGTTTTAGCGGTCCGCGAAAGTCGTAACCGCTGCACTTCAGACAGACTCACATTTCCTACTTCTGTCCAATCATTTTTGAAAAAGATTTTGGCCCTTTTTCGGATGAATCTAATAACTATTCGTTGTAATTAGCCATTGATTCGAGATGCTTATGACGCGAAATTAGTTACCGGAGACTCAGCAGTTCGAACCCAACCGCGACGTATCGACTGATTCTTTCTAGGCTTGGGCAACTTGGTAGTACCTCAACCCTCGTGCTTCCCTTAGCGAGGCGGTTAGGGGCCGAACGGGTGTAACAGCTAAACGATTATTACTTGCGGGGGGCCGTTTTCCCCAACGTATGTATCGTAACCCATGTGTCGTACGATTACATCAGCCATCCTTTACTCATGCGCTCGCTACTAATGTGCCAACACCGTTTGGCTTATGCGAGAAGTTTATAACCGTCACCTGTAGTGTGAAGTTTCTCATTTCCAGTACCCTCACTCGTTAACACGGCTACTAGCTCTAACCACGATAAGATGTTCCCAGGTTATCACTGCCGATGGTGTGACACTTTGTTCATCGTAGCCACCGAGAAACGTCATACTGTGGATATCATTTCATGATTGACCTTTACTCGCTCCAAGTGACCTTACACCTGCCCTTGGTGCGGCGGAATTTCACTTCGGCGACTGTCAGTTGGCATTTATACGGTTTGTGCACTCTATGACCGTATGAGTAAGAAAACAATGAAACATTTCCAAGTGCCGTCTTCCTAGCAGACTACCGATCATTTTCGGGTAAATCGACCACAACTCCCTTCGAAAAATAGCAACCAGAACGAACACAACGTTTACAGTGAACAGTTTTTCAAAAAAGTTATCCGGTTTCTAGCCATGTCAAGTTTCACTAGTTTTATTGCTACCCCATGAAAAATGGTCTTCAAAGAGCCTGTGTTTTGGCTTCAGTAAGGTTTCCGTAAACAACCGGCGGACCTATTGATGGTCAACAGAAAATCCTCGTTTCCAGATGTGGACGCAACACACTACTTACAAGGTTGCTGAAAGATCCTCCACGACCGGTCCAGTAGACAGTCTCCAAGTTTCCATCAACCTTAGTTTCTACTTGAACGCAAATTGCACGAAATTTGACTTGTACACTCAGTCAGGTTTTGACGAGAGATCCATCTGGAACGTAGCTAAACCTCTCGCTTATGGTGTTCTGCTGCAGTTGGAATAAGCTTTAAGATAGCTGGAGGGATGATCACTGATAGCTCTTCCATCTACGGGGCTTGACTACTGCCCAGTGTCAGTCAGCAGTTCATGTTGGCTGTGGAGTCACTGACACTTGTGACCTTTGGGTTTTGTGAATTCGGTTTCCGCGTCTTGATGTTTCAGGGCAATTTCTCCTAATATTTCCCTTAGGTGGTGCTTCAAATTTTTCATTCTGTGAGTTGACAAGCGCTAGGATGATGCCGTTATGTTTTAAGAAGGTTAAGCGGACTTTAGTGGACTTTTGTACTGATCAAATACTTGTATAACAACCCTTCTGTACTGGCAACCGCACAGGGGGCGAGGTGGAGCGCGAATTTACTGACCGGAAGGTCCGTGGTGCAAACTCGACCTCTGCATTTCGACCTCCCCTGTGTAGGCTTGGGCAACCTGGCAGTATCCCAGCCCTCATGATTCCTTCGTGTGACAACCGCACACCGTCATATGTCAACTCAGCCGTCAGGACTAGCTTTCCCGACCCGATAGTACCTTTCCGCTTATAATAATATTCTTTGAGGTGTGTGTGGATTCGTCAGTGAAGGTTTACTAACAGTCCGAAATACCGCCACATCGATGACAGTTTTTAGATTGGTCCGCACACTTTTCCATTCTGTGGACATTATCTACCGGTAACTGGATTGTGTTGGCAGATTGAGATGCATACCCGATGGGTTTCATCTTAGAGGAATGAAGTAAGTTGAGCACTGTACTGCTCTGTGACCTCGATGAGCGCAAGTGACTAAAATACACCTGGAATGACATACCTACAAAAACGAGCCCAGATTGAGCAGTACGCTTGTGTTCAACGCGTAAAGAATGCGTTTCGGTCTTGTTTGATGTTTTTTCTCTAATTGATCAATAAATTAGCTATGCTGGACTTCGTGTTACAACGAGGCAAGGTGCCAGACCTAGTGACAATCAGTCCTCGAGTCGAATTCAAACCCGGCAAATGTGGTTCTCTTTGGTCGTCAACTACTAAGTCCGTAATTAGGAAGGCCAATAGGCGCTTGTCTGAAAATAAAGTTCCAGCCAACTCGGAGACTTTACTGAGCGCCTGCTGAATGTTCCTTTAATGACATTTTTTCAACAGAATGTGCTGCACAAAGACCGTCTTTTGTTTCAGTTGGACGACATTCGAGATATCGTGATGGTTTTTCCTATAACTGGTGTACTCGTTCCATTAGGGAAATATTGTGAAATTTCGAACGCGAAGTAGCCTCTGTGGAGCACATTCAGTTGGGGAATATCATGAACCATTCAGCTAGGATTCTGTAAGATCTGCTGTCAAAACCGAATTGATGTGCAACGAACAACGGGCGGATCATAAAATTGTACAGAATGCATGGTTCACATATGCGAAAAAAACTGCACGGATTTCACGTTTTCTAGTCCATTTGCGGACTGTCTTTCAGCTGTAGCACCCTTTCGGTGCCTAACTGCCATGCCACCCGAAGGTTGCACGAGGGCTGGGATACTGGCATGTTGCCCAAGCCTAGACAGGGGAAGTCGAGAGGCAGAGGTCGAGTTCGAACCACGAACTTTCCGGTCATTAAATTCGCCATCTCGCCCCATCTTGCGGACTGTGTTACCGAATTTGAATGTAACAATTTTCCAGTTGAAACCTTGACAGTTGAGCGTTGACTGCTCCCCGTTGCAAACGTCGCAGGATGTGGACGGACCAGTGGCCCACAATCAACCGAAAATATGTGTGTATCAATCGTAGACTCGGTGACACACCACCCTGAATGACGGTGATATTCCTTGACTTGAACGACGGCTAACCGCCGTTCTTCCACGCGCGTATATACTTTTTGAACTACAGTCTCAGCACAGTACTTTCACCCAACGGAAACATGACTTGAATCAGTGATGTACACTCATTTACATACTAATTTGGTTTTGATAGGAGACTCACCTGGAGCGCGGCGGAATCTCTCGTTTATGATGACGGAAACTCGGGCAGTGCCGCTCTCTGATGAGCCTAAAGAAGGGTGAAATCGGTAGTGGGCTGTCGAAGAGTCTTCAGTAACCTAATGGGTAGTGTGTTACGTACATAAATTGAACCAGTTTCAATGATTACCGTCAGTTCTGGCTATTGGTTGTAGGGGGATTTGTAAAATTCACGCTCAATTCACTCTCGTTTGAACAGTTCTCCTGTCTTGGCGCAATCGTTATGGCGAGTCCACACAAAAGGGGCGAGCACTGGACTCCAGTTTGGCTTCTATTAGAGCTCATCAGCAGTGCGTACCGTGTCGCGAACCGAATTACGGACATTTGACATGCGAGGCGAGCGTGTTACTTCTGCCCCGCTAAAGCACACTGGATGTGCCTGAATGTTCATTTCTGAACAGGCTTGAGTTCTATGGCCTTGACGGCTCTAACAACGACCCAATGACTGTCCTAGTTGCGTTGATCGATTAGTCTTTCTGTCTGTCAGGAATTCCTGGTCAGGTCACGAGCATCACAGTCGCTGGAAGCCCATTCGATACCAGATTAGTCGTAGATAGTAGCAGGATTAGTAACATCACGTCCACCTCACTCTCGTCTGAACTTCAAGTTTACAGAATTTACGTTTTGACGTATGACTGAACCGTTACTTCAGTTGAATCTCTCGCCGAAGCCGGTGTAGTTAAAAGTGGGTGTTTTTCCTCAATTGCCCGCAGGTTGTTAGAACATGAGGTGGATGGAAACTGGGGGCTACACCTATCCAATGCACCCGAGAAAGGTCGAAACCGGTAGTAAGCTGTCGAAGAGTTGTCAGTGACCTTGTAAGTCATCATCATCATCATCATCGACAGCATGACATCAGTGTTCAACATTGATGCTTCACTGCCGTACAACCGTAATTTATTTGAAAGCCTTATTGTAGAGAAAAGAGTAAAGGTGGGCGGGGAAGGGACTTAGTGCTAGCTTACCACAATCATTCCGAGGTGCCTACACCTCCAGACATTCACTCAGGCAATCTGGATAGAATCTGACAACAAAAACGCCACTGACATAGGTTGGCAGCCATATCTTGTAGTGTCTCCAACCAGGCACAGTGAGGATCACGCGGTCCCCACCCTGGAAGGCGAGTAGCACCGACAGCACCCAAGCGTTTCGTGATCTCCTTCATAATCCTCGCCCCGAAAAATGCGAAACCGGTCGTGGGCTGTCGACGAATTTTCAGCAACCTTAGGAGTAGTACATTACAAAGTCTCCAATGTCTCTCTATAAATCCCCTTATGTTCAACTACCAGTTGTGTCTGATTGTGAGTTTCCATTTATGGAGTAAAAGAACTACCTGTTTTGACAAACGTGTGGGGTTAGCAGCAACAACGCAACTTGGTTGTATGCGAACTGTGCTGTTAGTCGTTGTTTACGTGACCTATAAAAAGGTCAGATACGCTTGTTCATTCAACGTTTGTTGCTAAATGAAACTCACCGTTTGAGTTCCACGTTCTACTCACACTTTATGAATCAGTTAAGGCAGTCTGGCAACCGTGGGTTGTACTGATCATTTGGTCATTAGTTATGTCGTGTTACCTGTTTGAATACTGTAAAAGGACTAGAATAGCGTTGTCTTGTGGAGTGACTTTTTGTCTAAAGTACACCTATTTTTTCTCACCCCGTATTACAGGCTGCTCATTATTTCGACCTCGATGTTGTTCACGTCCCGGTCGACCCGATTTCATACAAGGCTGACGTGGCGGCGATGCGAAGTGCCATAACGGGGTCCACTTGCATGGTAAGTGCTACATTGTGTTCATCCTCTCCAACTTTTCGCCCAGTTTGTTCGACAAACGTGCAAGTGTGCCGTATGCATAGCAGGCAATGCAACATCGATCTGCCTGTTTCGTTCGTCTGGAATGGTTGGACCCATCATCCTGCAGCCATAAAACCGTGATAAAGCGAACCGGTGAAAAGTTCTGATTTTGGTTGAAAATCCGTTTCACCTTACATGCCCCACCGACTGTCAAATTTTCGATTGTATGTTGCTAGAAAATGCAACTCTTAGGAGCCAGTGGAAGCGGTGTGAACATGTCCGTACGACTTGCCTATTCAGCCATCAAAACATTGACCAACAGATTTCCCGTCTTTCGCCTAAATGCACTTTTCCGTCTGTGGTCAAGGTCATAGGGACAGGTGTGAGGCAGGATACATCATTCTGTGTAGCCGCGCGCGAAAACCCTACCGTTTACCAAAAAGACGCACCTGGGCCAGATCACCGTTGCTATGCCCACAAGAGTGGGTGGCACTGTGGCTTTTGCATATATGTGATTGTTTGATGGCGCTCAGTATTCGTACAATGGAATTGAATTTTCCAAGTCTCTCATGGACTTAAGCAATCGGGCCATTGAGTTCAGAGTACCAGACCATTTGGGCACCCCGAGGTCTCAGCGATGCTGAGAAATTGTTCCACCAGACTTTTCCGCCAGAGGTATGATTGCTCCAGTGAACGATGAAATTTGGTGAGCTGCGAAAATACGAACGTAGATTAGGGTGGTTTTTGGTTTCAACACATACGCAACAGGATGCAACATTTTGGTGTGAAAGGGTTTACTCCACTCGTGAAGGTTTTGCGGCTAAGAGCATTGTGCGGCTAATGGGCACCTTGTTTGATCCACTCTACTAATCTACCGAATTTCTTTTGCTACCATCGCACTTAAGACCGCTTGTACTTTGGAATTAAGGGAGTTGGGATACAGGGTGCCCAAATCGATCGTTCCAACTCTGGCTGTTAGGTAGCTCCCAGTCGCGCCATCCGGCCAAGCGTCTCTTTTTCGGCTACTGACGGTATAGAGCGAAATGTGTCGGTCTCCTTGTTGGTCGCACTCAAAAACTGTAATCTTTCATCTCCCGAACAAGATGCTGTTGGATTAAGCCGACACAACTTTGCTGTTTTAATCAGAGATCCATTGTCTCTGAACGAGTTCTTATACAGCTGATGAGACTCAAGGCCAGCGACATACGAACTTTAGCAAGGCGGTCTGGCTTGTAAATGATGGCATACGCACCACGGATTAATTGCATACTATGTCGTGCAGGGTTTCTAACCACCTGTAAGCAGGATCACATGTTCCCCAACAAAGGAGGCACAAAGATCTCACAGTACCCAGTTTGACGGTAGCCTTGTTTCAGTTCTTCATGCCATGAACCTTTTGCTAACAATCCATCGGAACAGATTGAGCTCGATGTCTCTAGTCGTTAGTGTGACCTATTCACTGCACGTTGACTGAGTGTCAAGTCTTTTTCACTTGCCATGGTTGGTTTCGATTTGTCTGTCTTCATTTTTTTCAGATTGTAGCATCAGCTCCCGGATTCCCTCACGGTATAATTGATCCGGTCCGGGAACTAGCATCTGTAAGTTGGTTCTTATACACTCAAATGCAGTACCAAATTTCATTATTCAAACCCTTTTATGCGGCCGCGTTTATTGCCAAATACACACGTGACCAGTGCGATCCCTCAAACAGTACGACGCATTTTTTTCAAACACCAAAAGTATGTTGTCTCGGCCCGGCAGATTTCACGCACTCACACGCTTTGAAATAAAATAGTGGTTTAGCAAAGATGAATGGGTGATTGTGTTCTTCAACGGCGACTTCTGAATGAATTCAGAGCTTTCTGTCCGATGTACGGAGCAGTTCAGCTGGATTGGTTCGACTGCCTAGTGTGAGCCTCACAAAATCTTGATGCTGTGTAATCTGTTTCCAACAAATGTTCCACGCAACACTCGAAAACTCTAAATTTGAAGAAGTGGAAAGTGAGTTGAATGTCTGGTTTTGGTTTCTTATAATGAATTAACGGAAATCTATCTCGGCACCATGAGTTAAAAGCTGAGTTCAACGTTGGAGTGTAACCCAACAGATGGCTAAAAAAACTGTCATATTATGCACGTAACTCGTTGCCGAAACGCCGCACATAATCCGCTCTGAATGAGGCCACAGTCTTGCGAAAATTAAAATGCTGGAAGCGTAAATCGAATGAAAATGGTTAGGTTGCATAGCGAAATAAGTGTTTTTGACTAACAACTGAACTAAATAACTTCGTGTTCTTTTCGTCAGCTTAGCGATGACGTTAAGCTGACCCCGTCAAAAATTATACGAAAATGAGAAAATCTGTCTTGATTACCACACGAAAGTTCCAGAAAATATCACCTTGTTCCCCATCTTACCTTATATTTTATGGTGACCGTATTAAGCGTTGATTGCCACTGAAATTATACTTCCAATACGTGGGATAAACAAGCACTACGAAATTCCGAAAGGACAAGACGGATAAGACGGCATTTCATACATAAAACTGAGTGCACGATCGCCGTGATTGAGTTGCAAATACAAAAGATAACGTGTTTCGGAATATCTTGATTTTTAATTCCCAGCACTAAGCACATGAGTTTTTCCGGTTATATTCAGCAGCCGTGAACGTCGTTCGTGCCCAGTAGGTTTTTCAGGACAATATAATTCCAAAATACTACAACGTTGATCGTAATGTGAAGATCTCCGGGCCATGCGGTAAGGAAAACACACTATTAAATAATACCTGCGTATGCATGGTAATCCATGTGCGTGTAATTTTGAATGACATTCATGTGAAAGCACTTTTACGCCTACAGCAGTTCAACAAATGTTGTAACCAAACAGGCTTTACCACATAAAGTCAAGCTATTCTACCTCAAAGTTATGCGCTTGGTGTGTGTTTTCGCACATCAATATTCTTTGAAATTAAACGTCCTCCAAATAATAAATTATCATGGTACATACATTGTATTTGTATATCTACTTGTTTTTTTAGTGGAACGTGCTCACTGGCACCAGTAAATGATAAATTCTGGGTGTTTAAACGCGGACTTTATTAACTAACCAGACATTATCGCCGATTCGCGTCATCTCTAACTAGATAAGGTCATATTTTCGAGGAATACACTCATTTGCAAATCAATTTGGTGTTCACGGGAGACTCAATTGAATCTCTCGTTTATAATGTCTTCCAACGGAATGTGCTGCACACAGGCCGCCTCATGATTCAGTTGGCACGATATTCAAGATATTGCAGGGTATTTTCA